GAAGACCTGTTGTTGCTGTGACAGGCCTTCCCTCCCACTGCTGTAACTCTGGAATTCTACTGGAAACTACAGTGTGGGACCCACAGCTGAGAGAGATGAGAGAGAAATTCACTGCCTGCCCTCCACTTTAGCAGAAACTATGTCTCTAATCTTGAAATACCTTTATATTGGTTGTCTCTAACCTTAAGATACCTTTAGACACCACGGGGTGAAGGCTACACACCATTTTTAGCTGGACAGCAACAGTAAAGTCATTGTTCAAATATTTCTGAACCAGGCCACTGCTAGGGAATGTAAATGGACAACATTTAAAAACAAAACAAAACAAATCAGGCTCCCCCCCAAACTTTGTATAATTTCATTTTCATTCAGAATATTGACAAAAGTAGTGCATTCAAATGCTGTATCTCCAACTAATCACAGAAACAATTTAAAAATATGAGCCTTTTAAAAAGCAATAAATTTTAAGTGTTTCCCCCCCCCCCTTACTAATTTATTCTATAGGAGTGGTGGTGTCAAACTTTCAGAAATAATCACTAGAAATTCAATTATTTATACAAATTAAAGTGGAGAATTTATGCAGTCACATGATTCCAGCAGCTGGGGCTTTAAAAATCAAGTCAAGAGTTGTGTGACACACAGTATCCCTACTGTAGTTGGCAGTGCTCCGTCTATGTGCTGTAAACTCAAACTGGACAATGAAAATAAGTTTTCCAGCAGCATTTTATCTTATGCTGCTGTTCAGAGCTTGTATTTCAGTCCTCACTCATTCTTGGTGAGTCACAAGCTTTTCAAGCTTTCGGATTTCACCCCTCTAACATTTGTGTATCAAACCTGACCAGGGCTTCAATTCCTGTAAGCAGTGACGGGGTACAAATGTTCCTCTGAATCATCAGCACCACACACACGTTCGAAGGACTGTGCACGAGGCTTAAGGACTGGGCATAAATGTGAATATTCAGGTGAATTAAGCACAATGAAGCCAATTTTGCACCCCCTAAGGATCAATACTCTTAACACTACTCATGATTTTATGCCTGGCAATGTTTGTCAGCTTAGGACAAGGACACCGTGTTCTGGGTTCACATCAATGGGATCTTCAGTTCCAAAGTCCTGAGTGCTTTTGTGAGCCTGGGCCCAAGTTTTCTCTTAGTGCTTAACACACAGAATTAGTGCTATTATAAAATACTCATATTATTTGATTTAAAAAGCCCCTCTGTTTGAATCAGCTCTTTGCTGTGAGACCCCCCCCAGCACTGCCCAGGGGTAACACAGGGGTAAGAGGTTCACTTGAGGGGGGGTTGGTTGTTTGTTTGAACAAAACTGCAACAAGGAAAGAAAACAGAGGCAGTAACGACCTTTTGTTTACAGAGATATAATATTGCCAGATTTGATGCTTTACAGGATTTTGCTAACTGCAGCAAAGCTCAGAAAGAATACAGAGCAGCTTTTAAAACTCCTCTCCATAAAAACAGCAATAAACCCCCAGGTAACATCCACAACAGGGAACCTGGAGCCACCAGGTAAGAAAGTGTTGGGTTTGTTCCTGTTATTTTATTTTTATTGCTGGCACCAGCACACACAAACACACATTTCATAAATGCCCTTGGCTGCACCCATGTAGGTCTTTCTGTCTTAATGACTGGTCTCTAATGAAATATTTGAAGGCACTGGGCTGTCTCACAGAACACTTCACACATAAATGCAAATCACAAAAGAAATGTGAGTGCTGTCTTTCAGGCAGCTGCAAGTCACTGTACAGTCTCCTATGGTTTGGTTTGATTTTGGTTTGGTTTGGTTTGTGGGTTTTTTTTAAAGAGCAGTTAATTGTGACTGCTTACAGTGCACTGGCAATGATTTCCCAGCTCTCCCTTTTCTCCTTTCAAAGGCTCTAGACCAAATTTATCAATATGCTTAAATTGCATGAGCAAACTGGTGACTTTTAGCACTCTGAAACTTGTCCTTTCAGAGGAGTAGAACTGCAGGAGTCTTTCCCAAGGTATCTTCCAGCCACTGGGACAACTACTGGGACTGAAGTGCTCCTGTCACAGAATCAGTAAGGCTGGAAAAGACCTCTAAGATCACTGTTATGTCTGAACATCAAACAAGATTCGGGGATTTAGGAGACAGTGAATCAGATTACACCTCTCACCACATCTTATCTGAAAAGGTATCTGGTCCTGGAATCAGGGTGGAGGAGTGAATGCCTCTCTATATCAGGTTTAATAATACTTTGGGTTCTAGATTTTCCTTCTCAGCTTTGCATGCATCAAAAATAACACAAGTTCCTGAGCTATAAAATCAGGGAAAGTACCTTCACCTCTGTTGGGAACCCTCCAAGCACTGTTCCCAAGGGAGCAGCTACAATGCTGAACAGCCACTCTCAGTGCACGAGACCCAGGATTTATCCGAAGTGCTGAATCAGTCAATAAACAGCACACAGCTCTTTTGTTTTGGGTGACAGGTTCTCAACACTTTTCAGAAAAAGCTGGGCTAGTGTACATAAAACAAATTAAAGCAGAGTGGATGTTTTAGATAGTCCAGTTTCTGCTCTGTGGATCTGCTGAGATTATTTGTCTGACTTCCAACCGTGGTCCTAATTCTGAAAACTTGGCAGGGAAGGCCAGACATCAGGAGGAGCATCTCACATTACTAAATATGTCAAATGAGGACAGAGAGCAGAGCTGAAAAATAATAAGCTCAGCAAGGCCAATCTAAAGGTGTGTCTTTATCTTCGAGGGCTTATCATTTAACAGGAGATGGGGCTATTTGGTTATCTTGCCCAGCACAGAGCCACAGCTCTGCTCCAGGGAACTGCTGGAACAGATTCTCCAGAGAATCTGCCTGGGTTTCATCCCTGTGCACAGCTGAAGAGCTTTTTCATTTGCTTGCCTCCATCTTTCACTGAGGCCATCTTGGTTTGTATTAAACATTTTGAGCATGGTGAGGTTTTTTTCAGCTATTTTTCTTCATTTACCAAACCATTCAGGTTTTAACTTTCTAAATTTCATATTACCTAACAGGCACTTTATCTGTTTTTTTAAAGTTGCATACTAGGAGAAAAACTACAGATCCCAGTTTGTGAATATCTAGATTAAAAAGATTCTTCAGTGTTAAAAAAAAAAGAAAAAAGGTTAAGGTGAAAGACAAATTTAAAAGAAACTCAAGAAAAACTTGCAGACCATTTCTATTCCAAATGTAAGTGTTGCAAGGAAGAAAGAGAAGATAAACAATATATTTATAGTAATGTAACAGTATGGCATCTGCAGTCTCTGCTTCTCCCTTTTTCAGTTCTCCTACCATGCATTTCTCCTCCCTCTTCTTCCTAGGGAGCCTTGAATCCATCTTCCTTCTTCTGAGTCCTGCAATTTTAACTCTAGAGTTCTCCATATTTCCTACCTGGTGTGGCTTTTTTCTTCCTCAGTATCAGAAGCAACCAAAGGGAAGGTTCTGTTGTAATCAATGTTATTGTTCTCTCTGACAGCCAGACACAAATGAGGGGGATTAGAGGTTAGAGAAGTGAGTCCTGACGTTCTGCACCCTGAGCACTCCTCTGATCCCACCAGTGCAAAGGTTACTGGTGGAACTGGGAAAGCTCCAGAGGTCCATAAGGTGCTGAAATGGCTTCATATGGTGACCAAAGGTTTGGAAAGCCTTTTACATAAGGAATTACCACAACTACAGTACTTCAGACTTGCATGGAGCTGACACAGAGTAGGAGGGAGGTTCTCTAAATCTTAGGTGGCTCAGAGACAGCAGGTGCAATGTCCACCAAATGACAGCTGTGGAACCAAATTTCAGACTGGGAGAGTCTTTCAGAAGGACACTGTGGGAGCTGAGAGCTCACACGGGGTCAGGGGAAAACTGGACATCCAGCCTGACTCAGGACAACCATTCCTATGTTCTTCTAATAGCAATCAGGCCTTTGGTTTGTAACTTGACTTTGTGGATGATCTGTAATTGAGAAGAACTCCATTTGCAGAAAGCAGGATAGTTTTGAAGTCGTAATGTTTAAGAGCACCATTTGCTTCAAATGCAAACCTGATTTTGGATCAGTGAGAGCTAAGTAAGTAGGGAAGTTCAATTACTCTAAATCATTTTCTAAGTACTAAAATGTGGGTATTTGAAAGACATATGAGGAGAAGGAAGAGTTCAGTCCTTGCTGCTGATGAAAAAGAAATATCAAAAATATTTTAGGAATCAATGGAACAACAGCTGCAATTTTCAGAAAAGGCTTATTTCTGATTATGGTCAATCAGGAAAAAAAATCAATGAATCATTTCCTTTTAAGGAAGATCTTTGTTTTCTAATTAATTTAATTCCTTTTGAAAAATCTTTTTCCCAAATGCTGAGTTATCTGTATTTTATCTCATTGGTTACTGTGCTGCTTTCAGTCTAATCCCAGCGAGCAGAAGTGAAAAAAATAAAAAAGCAGCAAAGGAGTCTGGCAGGAGAGTGAACTGTTCTCTCAGCATGTGCTTTCTGAACTGAGAGTGTGAAAGTAGCCATAAGCTGGCAAAAGTTCTGAAGCCATTCTGCATCTTTTGAGGTCACTGTTTTCTCTCCTAGACTGGTAGAAAGTGAAGTCAACCCCACAGTGGGTTGTCCCCAGAGTCCCTGAGCAGAAACAAACTGCATGTCCTTTCAGGACTGTGCAGCTGGAGGAGGTCAGATATGTTCCTCATCCAAACTGGGGTTCAGTGACACAGTGGAGGTGGGGAGGGAATTCTGTAGCTGCACAGTAAACAGGAACATTTCCTGCTCCAGATCTACCCTTGAATACTCCAGTTTTCCTCTTTTTATTGGTGAATGCAAGCGACGTTCCGCTTCGATCAAATGCCAACAAGATTGTCAAGAAGCCAACAGGCCCCTCCACTTCTGTGCACGACATTTAAACAAATTAAATCAAACTCAGGGAAGACTGAAACGTTCGACTTTTGCTGGACTGGGAGGTTGTAATCAACTAAAGCACTGGCTGTGTCTTCTACCCTGCTGCAGGATCCTGCTCTGCCTCTGCTGCAGTCAGAATTCCCTCAGTAATTGCAATCAGGTGGGAGCCTTCACCAGCTACTTGCTTTTCTCCTCCTCCCACAGAGGATCATTCCCAGGCCATCAGACAGGGCTCTGCTATTCTGCACCGGGGTGGTGAAAATCCTGGCGCTTCAGGGGCAGCCTTTACTCCACTGAACATTAACAGGTAAGTTTTTATTGGATTTGGACTCCTACTAAAACAGGTGAAACAGGAAATGGCTCTAATCCCTCTGGGGTTGGCTGGCAGTGAAATCCTCTCAGTGTCCCATGTTTTTAGGGAATGGAATCAGCAACAGCCATGCCAAGGAGTGACAAGTTGGCAGCGTCTGCTGTGCTCATCTTATGGAGCCACACTGGCCTTACTCTGCTTCTAAAACACACATCAGGACACCCCTGTGAGGCAGAGGGACTCTCAGAAAGGGTGGGAACAGAAATCCAGGGAAAAGGGTGAAAAGGTCTGTGTTACCTTTCTCAGAACATCTCTCCTGGAAGCAGAAGGCTTGTCTACACTTGTGACCACTCCAGTCAGCTGTGGCAATTTAAATTTACACCCTAACCTACGCAAGTGGAAGCAAGTTGAGATGCTCTAAGACATCACTAATGAAATCAAGGAGACACATTCACACACACAGATATGAGAACACGCAAATTCAGATATACTTATGTACATACATGCATGTATATGCTAAAATGAACCACTTAACTGATGTGTACCATGACAGGGATTGCTTTTTTGTTATTTTAAGTACTTTTTATTCTATTCTATTAGAAGCAAATTGTACAATGGAGCCTGACATGTTAAGTATCATTTCAGAAATCAGGTAATAAGTGCACCAGCTCCTCAGTAAGTGTCTCCCCACTTTGTCTTTGGTTGATTTTCTGATATCAGTTTCTTACTCAAGCACCTTAAACAGCATTCATATGAAAGGGAACTGAAAGAAACCAAAAACTTGGTCTTCAAATACAATTTTTTTCCCCTAGTTTGTTCTTCTAGAAGTACAAAGTTTGCAACTGTGGAGTAAAGCACTGAGACTCCTGGAGGAAAAGGTTTTAGAGAAGACTCATGGAGGAAAAGGTTTTAGAAAGAACAGCACATTTCCCTGAAAATGTGTAGTAAGCTGAAAATCAGCTTCAGACTTTCAGTTAACCAAGAAAAAACCCCAAACCTTACCATGCTAAATATAGTTAAAGATCACTTTTACTTTTTAAAGATCACAGTGTCAGTTCTCCTGTGAGAACCACCACGGTTTTCCCTCTGCCAGAAAGAATTGATTGGGCATTTTCTCCAGGGAGACCCGGAGCAGCACTGGCTGTTTCTTCCATTCTTTTCAAGCACTACATAGACATGTCATCCAGGAACTTTCCCAAAGCTTTGTGAGAAAAAAAAAAAAAAAAAAAAATCACACTGCTGTGCTAGGGATACACACAGAGAATTCAGTAAGTGATATGTTGATTAAAAGATTCCTTGTGGATTTTTTTTTTTTTGAACTGTCGGCTCGAATCTGTTCCTTCCACTCTGGAGACCAACAAGATTTCCTTTGTGCATTTTTCACGTCTGCTGGTTCAGAAACGGGCATCCAGTCAGACAGTGTGTTTTGCAAATGATGCAATATGAAGACTTCACTTTTCTGCCTCTTTTAGACAAAAGGTAATGTAACTCCTAATTTTCCCTTCTCCTGCAGAATGTCACTGCTCTGTGCTCCAGGACCCAGATCACACTCACACTTAAATCCCACAATCTGATCTCCCACTGGAGAATCCTGCACTAAAACTGGGAATTGTTTCACATTGTAAGTGTTCCTCTAATTATACTATCAGAGATTATTTTAACACATTCATTTCATACCTTTTAGCATCCCTTTGACCACAAGCAATCAAAAAAGCACAGGAGGTGGAGACAACACCAAATGAGTGGCAACTGATCCAAACCAAAGAATTGAAAAAAAGCCCACGCTGCTGACTCTGGATCAAGATTCATTCATGCATGCAAGGCAGCAGCAGATTGATTACTTTTTGGCCTCTTGGCACATTTACAGTTAAATTGCTTCATTTGTAACGGAATCGATATTTCTAATTACATCAATTACAGTATTAAAAATATAATGATCCACAAGAGAAGCGAAACAAGGATACAACCCAGTGTTTTGGATGTGTTCCAGTACAGCTTTCAGCTCAAGGTACATTCTTTATGCAAATAAAAAACCAGAAACATGACAATGTTGGGTCCCTGGGACCTTGGGCAGCCGTCTCGTCTCCACGTCCCTGCTCTGAGACAGGCTCAGATGTGTCCCAGGATAGCCAGACATTCCCAACAGGTGTTTGTTTAACCCAGCCACTGGAAGACTGATTCTACACTCACATTTAAAAATCAACGCTTTTCAATGCTCATTAAAATAAACCCACCACGGTTTTCACCTCAGCTTCTGAACTGATCTCCCCATCCCACAGCGTCCCCGGAAGGAAAGAGAGCCAGGGTAAAAGGTGGAGCACAGAAAGCTGGCCTGAGAAGCATATGTAGCATGAGCATATGGAGGAGCAAGGTCATGCTGCCAAAGCCAGAGAAACTGCAGATCCAGGTGAAGGAAAAAACCAGCAGAGAAGAAGCCATAGCCAGGCATGGGGATCTCTGACTTGCTGAGCAACACTCAAGAGCAGAGAGAGAGGTGAACCAGGGGAGAAAAATTGAATGTGTTCATTGTTTTGCCAAAACCTGCGTATTTCTAGTGCTAGTTAAAAGGTGAATGTTTCTGTGATCCTTAGAAAATCGATGTTTTCTGCTTTACACAATGACAAATTCCCTAAGAGGAAAATCATGAACAAGGTGTTCAATGCCCACAACTCTCCCAGAGACACGGATAGGAAATACATGCACTCAGCACCAAAGGAAATTAAGACATACTTATCCAATGGTAATGGCACTTCCCAATCCACTGGGAAAAAAAAGGGTATTCATTTGTACAACTTTGCTTAGCCCAGTGCTTTTCAATGCTGCAGCATTTTGAGCACAGGTCACAGGGATGGGCTGACTGTGGAAATGCACCTCCATAAACCCAGAACTGGGAAGTTCTGTGTCCCTCACAGTTGTGGGAGAGAGCAGTTACACACTGGATTCAGTGGCACACCTCACACCCCACTCCTGCTCTGTGTCCCCAACACTGGAACCCAAAATGAAGATCCATCCAAGGGACTGATCCCAGACAGCCTGGTGGGGAAACACTTGGCTTGGCATAATTATTTTCACACCATATAGATTAATCTGAGTACTTAAATTCTGCTTGTGAGTTCCTAACTAACATTTCTGGGCTGCAGAGTTTCTAATTACAAGTATTACCATTTCTAATCTCCTGAAGCCCTGCCTGCTGTGTCTGCATCCGAGTCATCACATTACAAGGCCCTCTATTGTCTCACTGCATTCTTCTCAGGCCTTCAGATGTTAATAAACTAGAATAATGAAACAGGAGGATAACAGTAGGATGATAGTACATTTTAATTTAAAATGGAGGGCTTTCTAGTAATGGGGGACACCTGAAAACTAATGCAGGCTTAACATAGGCAGACATTTGAAAATACTGAGATTTCCTGATCCCACCACAGAGAACCAGAGCTGGAGCAAACAGGGAAGGAAACAAAGGTGGAGATCACTGACAAATCTGGATTAACACAGGCACTAGAATGCCACTAAAATAAACACAACACACTCCCTGCTCTTTGCCAGCCTTTGGAGTGGTCTGTGGAGCACCCAGGAGACACACACTCCACCCTTTTGATACTCCCAAACCTGCCAGACAGTGAAGAGACACAGAACAGAAAGCACAAAGTACTTTTGGAATTTGTGACAATAAAGCCTTACGGTATGAAAACACAGTAAGGGAAAGGCAATATAATTGTGGTACAAATCAATAGAGTCTAACTGCAGGGACGATATTAATGTTGTTACACACTTAATCCATGGCTGAATTTGTCTTAGTGAATTGTTAATGTTCTTTCTAAAACAAACAGGCCAGGTAACTTTGCTTCTTTCTGCCTTGGCAAGCTCCTTTCATTACATCTCCACATCCCTCTGAAATAAGGCACACCATGACCAGTTTTTAAATCTACAAAGCTAAAAACCTCTACAGTGGGGAAGAGGAGCAGCAGAAAATTATAGTTCACATGCGTAAAGTACAGCCTGCCAAGAGCAAAAAAGTTTTAATTTGTCGATGCTGGGCTGTGGATTTGGAGTGCCAAAATTATTAAGGGCAGGACACTGCAGTGAGTAGCAGGAACAAGAGCTGCTCATGAACCTCACTGTACACAGCACTGATCAAAGCCAGCTTTGAGAGGGCACAGAACAATGAGATCCTCCTTCAAAGGGGAAAAGAAGAGAACTTGTGGAAAGGAACTGGCCAAATCCTCATGATAACGAGAGAGAAATGCCTGATCCTTTGATAACAAGCCTCCTTGAACAGGGAGAGAACAATGTGACCACTTCCACCCTCCACCTGCAGCACTTAGGGTGAACCAGTCACCTCTGGGGACAGGGAACACTGGACCAAAACATACCTACTCCCCTTTCCTGACCCCATGGCAGTGGCTGAAGGAATCACCACTATTGGAGCTGCACAGTCCATCACTGAAGCAGCTTTACACGTCATGGGGCTTCATCCTGGACTAACCAACTTTAGGAGCCACTCCTCTTGCAACACAGAAAGCTCAGTCCACAAAGACTATAAAACTGATCTCTGGTGATGTCAGAGAAGAAGGAAAAACTGGGGTTAAACATCAGAGCCCGTGTTATTTCATTTATCCTTATGCACCCTGTAATACACAATTACTGAGTGAGACCACAGGAGGGATAAGGTGAGGTTGTTTTAGATGCTTTAATTGTGCATCTCTGTAGCTAAATAAAGCTTTAGGCATTCTTTGAGTTGACCTTGGATTTCTCAGTTTTACTAGTCTTGTTTTTTAAAAGCAATATCCTGTAGTGATTTTTACTTTAAGATTACTTACACATGCTTTCAAGGTTTAAACCACTTTACTATTCCCATCTGTAAGGGAATAACAAAGGGAGAAAATTTACACTCCAAAATTCTTGATAAAAATAGGGAATATGTTCAACTTCCATCTTTCTTATTTTCTAACCAATAATAATAATAAAATCTACTGGTGTCCCTCCTGTCCCATATCTCATTTCTTTCCTCTGCCTGTGAGATCTAACATTATCACAGATGTACAATATAACATATTCCAGCTCATGCAAACAAAAGCAGCACAAAGAAAAAAAGTACCCGGCAGTTTCGAGTCATTCTTCGCAAATAACAGTAACAAATCATCTCCCAAATGAGCTTGATTTTCACCAGCACTTTGATTGCCTATTATGCTAGGTGGATTTTGGGGTTTTTTTCCGAACAATCGTTATTTCGGAGTCACACGGACACCACCGTTCAACCCTTACACTGTATTGTCTCCCCCTGATATATTCCTCTTCCTTCCCTCCTTTCCCACTTCACATCACTCTTTGTTCTGCCTGTGCAGAGGAGAAACCCAGTGGGACATGACTGGAGGCAATAAGGACGGCAGTAAAGCAGCAGGGCTCTGTGCAGTGAAGTCTGTTGCAAACTCTATTGCTTACCCAGGTGCCCCTTAGATTGGCTCAGAGAATTCCTCCCTCTCATCCTAAAGAAATCTCCCTGAAGGTTGAACCACTTGGCTCTCAGGGAGCTCTGGAAACTCACACGAGAGTGGCAGTTTCGGGAGAAATTCGAGGGACTTTGCTTTGTTAATGAGAAGAGGCTTGAAGCGCACTCCTATAAAACTCTCTTCAAAACACACTCTTTAAAACACTCCCTCTTTGAGCAGGGACAGAGGGGAGTAAAGGACCCCTTTGTATAAAGGAAACATCTTTTCAAAGTGGCCAGTTTTAACTAAAAATGCTGGTAATGCCACTAAATGCTCTTAAAAACCTTAATTCAAAGCAACGGAGCTGCTCCTGTTTGTGTGCTCCCCAAATTTTCCCATGCATGTGTGAATATCAGGACAACAAATCCAAGCGTAGCAATAACATGACTGGCTTTCTCAGACCTTCTGAGCTTTCTGTTACCTCTCCCAGACCCCTCAGGTCATGCTGAAAACCATTGATGCAGTTATATCCTTTTCCACAGGAGTCACAATAAAGCACCAGTAATAGAGTCCTAATGGAGCCCATTCCTTCCTGGAAACCCACAGAATTTCTCAAACACTGAGCAATTACATCACACCCCATCCTTTACAAAATACCCTGATATGACTATGATTATTACTTCTGTAGAGGACACGGGTTTAGGATTATCAACAGAGGCAATCCATAGGCTGAGGTGTATTTCCCAGACAGTCCAAAACATGTCCTGAATAGCTCCTGGGGTCAATCAGAACTAAGGGCACTTGGCACTGTGTAGCCAGATATGTCTTTTCTCACCTCACAGAAAAAGCTGGTTTCAGGGGCAGGAACTGAGCCAAGACTCTGCTAAGAAGTGAGTTTATAAGAAAAAGACTATAGAAAATGGATCTGGAAAGCCAACATCCAGTGAAAAACATCACTGAACTCAGGACACTTTGCAAGACTGTTTCACCCAGGCACTCTGATCTGGGAATTACAAAACTCTTCAAGTTAAGTGACAGGACCCAGGGAATGGCTGGAGCTGTGTCAGGGCAGGCTCAGGTTGGATCTCAGGGAAAGGTTCTTCCCCCAGAGGGTGGTTGGCACTGCCCAGGCTGCCCAGGGCAGTGGGCACAGCACCAAGGCTGCCAGAGCTCCAGGAGGGTTTGGACAACGCTCTCAGGGACAGGGTGGGATTGTTGGGGTGTCCTGGGCAGGACTGGATGGCCCTTGTGGGTCCCTTCCAGCTCAGGGTATTCTGTGACTATATGATTCCAGTAAATCTCAGGGGGGGTAGATACTGCCAATGCATCTTAACTGAGGCAAAGAATCGGAAGAAATAAACTGAAATTCACTCCAATCTCTTTTCCAGCCACTTTTCAGACGTCCAGGAAGGATCTTCAAACATCTGTGCTCTCCCTGCCTTAAAACATGAAGACTAATGAGCGAAAGCTGATTTTTCTACTGTTATGCCAAATCAGAGCTGACTTTGGACTCCAGTTTCAGAGGTGTGTGAATCACAACAGTCCCGTTCTCATTCACATGCATAACAACGCAGCTCCCATTAACACCACCGGGAAGACAAACGAGCCTGGAAAAGGAGGGTTTTCTTCAACCAAAATAACATCATGCGAATCTACTTTTAGCCTTTAATGGCAAAGCAACACCCTGGAGGGTCTTTTACCGTAGATGTTCAAAATTACAGCTGAAACAACACCTGCACAGCCGTTTTAAAAAAGTAAAACGTCTTATATAATTTTAAAGCTGGTTTTCCTACTTGCTCCTTGCTGCCCAAAAAGTGTAGCTGCAGTATTCTATATGCCCTCCCCATGCAATATGAATTCAGATGGTGGCTGACAGGGGGAGATTTGGAAGTAAGATTTATCTCAAAGCATGTTTCCATGTTTACACACTCAGCATCGTTTTTCATTTCCACCTTTAACCATTATTCCTCCCTGGCAGTAGAAGTCAGGTTCTTAATTATGTGGAATTTTTCATTGTAATGAAAGGAAACATAAAGATCCTTGTGAACACATTCACATTTATAACTTATTTACAATGTGTTTTCAGGGTTCCAATAATTCATAGTGCTAAAGGTGGAAGACTCCACACACTAGCTGCAGTATTAATGCTTTGAAAAATTATTAGCCAAACTAGGAATTTTATTAGTCAGCTTTTCATGTTAGATGTGCTCTGCTGGGATTTTGCTATATCAATGCTTACTTCATGTTCTGACAATTTTTCTAACTAGCCTGAGATATTATTGTATTAGATGATGATTTACTCATTCTATTAAGCCCTGACAATAAATACATTTTATGCTAAATTAGTTCTTCCTTAAAAATACTTTCTTTCCGATAGAGAAAAAAAAAAGAGAAAAGAACTCTGTTCCATTTAAGACAGAAAAGTAAACCACTGCAAGATCTGAAAGATAAGAAATGTATTAATTGTCCACCCTTTTCAGGAAAGAAATATTATATTTTTTAAAGTGATAATGAGCTTCCTTTGAGGGCAAACTCACAAGGGGATCTCCTATCTGTAAGTTCTCCTGCCAAAGAGCAGAGTGTTGCAGGAAAGTCTCAGTGCCTCTTTTGGGGGTTGTTTCCGATGTAAAGAGGAGCAGTATTTAACTGTTAGTTGTGCCATAAGAAACTGGGAGTCGTGCTCTTGACACTCTAGGCAAGACCTATTTGCACTGGACTCAGAAATGTTGATCATACTATTGCAGCCAGGGCCATCTGTGCTAAAACCAAACACAGCCTCCCTGCTGAAGTCAGGAAAAATCACAGGTATTTGTAGATTGTTTTCCTAAGTGCCTACTTCCATTGCACTACCTGCATCATTTTCATGAGGAAGGTATTACTGGCTCCTTATTTCAGATTACTGGCATGTAGGCTCAGATTTTATCCTATCAAAGGAAATATGGGTCGATACCTGCCTTAATCTAGAAACAACAGAGGGAATGCCATGCAGTGTCTGGCAAGGTATTCATCTTCCTATCACATTAGGATTTGGAAAGGTGGCTTTCATATCCCACTGTATAATTTCTACTTTTGAGTGATGGCTACCCAGCAATAGATGTCTGACCCTGCTCCTCCCTGGCTGATGATGTAAAACACTGCTGCCAGACTGGTGGGATAATGAGATTTTATTTGAACGCTGGATTTCTGAACACCCAAGGACTCACTATCCTGACCCCTTCAGGATATTTTGGCATGAGCACCTCCAAAATCAAGCACAAGAAACACAGATCTCTTGTTCTTTGTGTCCTCAGATGGGGCAGACACATCTGCAGCCAGGACAAACCAAGGGTGTAAGATTTGATCTGTGTAAAGTCAGACAACACTAGCAGAGAGCAAAATCACATTATCAGCATTTAAGGTTACTTAGACACTTTTCAGGGCACTTTGCTTGGTCCTCAACTTAAATAAATCAGTGTAACTCCACTGATCCACCAATTTATGTGCCCTGTTTACTGTCTTTTGACCAAGCATCTCAGAGAAACTTCTCACCTATAATTCTTGCCTCTGATTCTGGTTTATTCTCACGAGCATGAACATTTGATAATGCTCTGTGATTAGATTAGCTGATATTGCAGTAATTTATGGTCAATATAAGTCTGGTCTACACACACAGAAATTACACTGGTTTAACTAAATCGGTTTCTAAATCAATTTACCTAAATTGGAGCAGCTTCCAAGCGAGGGCACATAAATTGGTTTCAGAATGGCTAATATCATGTTAGTTTAATTCAGTTTTAAGAATGTCCACACAGGGGGGTTACAGTGATTTTATTAAATTGATTTAGAAACCAATTTATTTCAACCACTACTATTTCTGTGTAGGCCAGGCTACAGAGACAAGTGCAAACTGCAAAATGCCACATTAATTGTCACCATTACTGCTCCCAGGAACTAAAGAAGGAATTAGTTTGAATAAAGTTTTCATTTGTTAATGAACAGCACACTGGGCCAGAATAAAGCTAATAAACAGTGTTTTGTTTTCATGATGGTTTTCCTCAGGGCAGCTGATATGCCATTAGTGATGAAATGTCACACGTTGTTACATTGCAGCCACAGTGTGAAAAGGTTAAAATGTAAATATATTTAAACATCTTGGGGCGATTGTGATTATTGCTAATTTTTACTTATATTACAACAGAAGAAAAAAAAAAACCACAACTTTACTTTCCATTTGTAACGTTTATGTTTTCCCTGAATTTTACATTTTGGATAACCTAAAGAATTTAATGCTTATTTATTTCAACAGGCATGGTAAGAAACCAGTCCTTTATTTTAAATATAAAACCTAGAGATTGTTTAATGCTGTGGTGATGAAAGACTGAGGTGATTCCCCTTCCATCCTCATCATCTACAACCCGACAAAGGCATCTGAGTAGTGGTTGAAGATGTGCATAAACTGAATATTCACACACTTCCAGCGCTAATTGCAAGGCAAAGGGCAGAACTCAAGTTTCCTGACAGGAGGGCAGTCCCCTCAGTAACAGCGACCTGAGCTTGAAGAGAGGTCAAACGCCTTTTGATGGGGAGGATATCGGAAAACAGCCGGGTTAGAACTCCCTTGTATTCTCTCTTGGTCCCTGGGATACAATCGTGATGTCATGGGATATAATCGTGATGTCATGGGATATAATCGTGATGTCATGGGATATAATCACGATGTCATCTACGAGGAACAGCACATTCCTGTGAGATGCTGCTCACAGTCCCCACGCCTCAAAATGATTTCACACCAGAGAGTTGGGAGTGAGTGCAGAAGAACTGATTCTGTCCCTCTTTCTCCATAATATCCAGGAAGCCACTGAACAGGGATGCTCACAGGGCATTGAAGTGCAAATGTCACTTGAATAGCCTGGACAGATGGGTCTTTTCACGGAGAGATTAGAGCGTGGCTCTGTGTCCTGGGGAGCCAGGCAGGCAAGGCTCCTCTGTACAGTGGCACACAAAATGTCTTTGGGGCTCCTAGATGGAAGCAGGTCTTGTTCCTTGCTCAGGGTTCTCACATCTCTGGCAGGTACTTCTTTGATCACCACATTTAGAAAACGCAAGGATTTTTTGCCGAGCTCTGGGAGGGTCTTGGAGACGAACAGCTATTCCCGTCAGTCGTGACATGCCCTGTCCTCTCCCCTTCCCTTCACACACACCGCATCTTTCACAAGGCTCCTTCCAGAGCAAGACGGGTCCCAGGGCTGTCCCCCTCCATCCTCCACCTCCCAGCTCCGGTCCCAGGAGCTGCAGACTTTGTGGCTGCCGTGTCTCAAATTCTTACCATCCTCGGCTGTCTCGCTGCCTTTCAAGGACCCGATTAATTACTTCGCGTTTACAAAGCCCTTTGAAGATGAAAAGAGCTTTAATATCAGTGGTAAGTACCATGATTATTTACTCTTCTGGCTTTCCCCTCTTTGTCCTAGTAGACAGAAACTGGTGACCACCTGGATTTTGATGTATGACCACAAAATTGGCCTGTGGAATTCAGCAGCACCTGACACACACACTCTGTCCTGCCACGCCGAGGAGATCACGTTTCATTCTGTCATCACATTCTCGTGTGGTGGCCCAGACTGTCTCCAGGCAGGCACAGCATTTCAGTGACATGTATTTAACAACCAAACACTGCTGCTGGTTTTACAACTATTGTTTTCTCACAGCCTGAGGTGCAACACAGGCATGATAGCACCAAGAACAAGGTAGAGGCGAAGGGATGTGAAAGGCAAAGGAAGAACTTTTAAGAGAACTCAGAGAAATGCTCATTTCTTTATGAACACCTTGTCCCAGGAAGGGCAGCTGAAGGGATTAAAAAGATTGCTACCAAAAAATGCAGAAAAAGATGATGTAGTTGATTTATGCTGCTTCAATCTTGCTCCCTGGCAGACCAGCCTGCAATCCACACCTGAAACACCAAAGTCACAGAAACATCTACAGGATTGCCATGAAGACTTTGACTTATTTGAGAATTACACTAAGCTTCCGTTTCTTTGCACAGCATTCAGTACACGGAACATGTAATTTGCTTCAACTCAAAAATTCCCTTTCTCCAAAGTTCAGTCTTACTCCAAGGCTTTCCAAACAGAGGATTAAAGGGAGATATTGCCCCTTGCAAAACAAACACCTTCCTTGAGGCTGCAAATGAGAAATTCCTCAAAACCAACTCAGCTTTGAGCTTCCCAGGTAGGCTGGCACAGCCATGGGCTCCCTTGGCTGTAACTGCAAGTTTCCTGACAGCTACTGAATGAGCAGAAAAATGTCAACTTTGAATGGAAAAAAAAAAAGAAAACAATAACAAATGCCTCCTAAGTGCACAGCTGCCTGAAACACAGGTGCCAGCATTAGCAATAAGGGAACAAACCAGTATTTTCACATCATAAGGTGCTGCCTGCTACAGTTTAAGTGTAAGTGTAAGATGTGATTAGCTGCAAACAGGTAGGGCTGCTCTTGCTGAGTGTTCAAATACAAAAGGAAGCTGATGGATACATAAATAAGTTTGGTGTGACTGCACAGGCAACACACACTCAGCTTGCCTAGAGCCCAAAGCCTCACCTGCTCGAGCCATAAATCACCCCCCTGGCACCACATTTAGACCCAGGGCCGTGGAATTACTCTACAGACAGTCCTTGACTGCCTCTAACATGTCTCACAATTAAAGTCCAGTAAGAGTTTCAGTGTGTAGTATTCTGGTATTCCAAAATAAGCTCTTCTGAATCAGATGGAAAGCCGTGTTCCAAATGAATTTTTAAAGGATCCAGTTAAAACTCCCTGATGCTGGAGGGCTGGCATTTTGCCCCATTAAACACGCTTGTCTTGTAAGAAGTTCCATGCAACATAGATGAAATTCAGAGCTCTATCTGCACGAGAGGAGGAGGCTGCAGGCATTTAAGGGGCTTTTCTGTTTGATCTGAGTGCAGCGCAGGCACGACGAGCGCTCGTGGATGTGCTGTGGAGAGTTGCATCTGTCCTTGGTAATTGGGAGCACAAGTCCATCTGCCAGGATGTGTTTGGTAAATCTCTTTGCAGGCTGCCATTTTGTGAGCAAGGACATACATCCACATCCCCCTCGGTGACCCCTCCCTAAAACCATTCGTAGAACCTGCCAGCTGTTCGTTTCTCTGACTCATCCTCCAGTTATCCTTAAGGAGAGAGTGGAAAGAGGGGAAAAAACCCCTACACGCTTACACATAGGCATGTGCAGCCACAAGGAAGATGAGGGGGGCAAGAAGGCATCCCCTGGACAGTGGAGAGTTGCATATTTCTGGTGGAGAAATGGCCAGGCAGCAAATCACCTGCCACTGAGCTCTGCTGCAGCACCAGC